AAAATTAAAAATAGACCTACCCAGCAATAGCACTGCTAGTAATTTACCCAAGGGATACAGGAGTACTGATGCATAGGGGCACTTGTACCCCAATGTTCATAGCAGCACTCTCAACAATAGCCAAATTATGGAAAGAGCCTAAATGTCCATCAACTGATGAATGGATAAAGAAATTGTGGTTTATATACACAATGGAATACTACGTGGCAATGAGAAAAAATGAAATATGGCCTTTTGTAGCAATGTGGATGGAACTGGAGAGTGTGATGTTTTTCCTTTTCTAAATTGGAAATTTGAGGGCTTTTTTTTCCTTTTCTTTTCTAAAAGTAATACATGGGCCTAGTTCAAAAAAACAAAAGGTATAAAGGAAGGTTTACAGTGAAAAGTTAATCTCCCTCTCACCCTGGTTTCCTGCCCTGGGGAAAACAATGCTCACAGGGTCTCCTGTGTTTGCCAAAGGCACTCCAAGCACATGAAAATATCCACCTACACTTACTCCTTTCTTACTTGTTATTCCTTTAATGGCTCTGTTTTTTAACTTCAAACTTTCCTTACTCAAAGGTTTAATAAAAATTCTCCTGAATTTTTTCTAGATTAAAAAACAAAAACTTGGGGTGCCTTGGGGGCTCAGTCAGTTAAGCGTCCAACTTTGGCTCAGGTCACCATCTCAATGTTCGTGAGTTCAAGCCCTGCATCAGGTTCTGCATGGTGGTGTGGAGCCTGCTTGGGATTCTCTCTCTCTGCCCCTTCCCCACTTGTTCTCTCTCTCTGTCTCTCTCTCTCCCCCCCAAAATAAATAAACTTAAAAAAATAAAAATAAAATAAAACTTAAACCATTTAACATTTGGGGTTTTAGAAATTAATTTGCTAACCAATCAGTTAGCTCTTAAATCTATTTATAGAAGATGTACATTTTACAATAAATAGCTAATTTAATGTTCCCATCACCATGTATTGAATAATTCTATTCCTAGTAATTGTTTTATATACATCAGCTTCTATTTCAGAGTTGTCTTTTCTGTTTGTACGATTTTTTAATTCTTTTACAATATTAATTTTGCCATTTCCTCCATACAAACTCCACAAAATTTTAAAGATATGTCCTAGCGTATTTTATGTCTCTGCTGTGGCTGTTAACAAAATCTATATTATTTCATCCTCAGAACTTTTAATTAGTTATTGCTGAATAAGTCAGCCTACACTTTTTTTTTTGTATTTATTTTGAACGTAGCTGTTTAGCTCAATTCATCTTAATTATGATACTTTTTTTCAGATCATTCTCTTGGGTTTTCCAGAAACATCTCTGTATTGGATCTATACCTTTTGTATATTCCATAGCTTATTGTGTTGACCAGTAGTTCCTAAGCTATTTCACACAAAAGTAATAAAAGCAAGAATGCATGTTTAGTTTGTGGTTTTAGTTCCTGATTTTTGATTTAAAATGTTATGGTCAAAAGCAAGAAAATACTGCAAATATTTTAAAAGCATATAGGATGTATCACTTTCTTCCTATTTTCAAAGTTTATGCATTTGTTTTAATTTTTTTAACTGTCTTATAAGCATCTATGGAGATAAAGAAGCACTTTTTCTTAGTCAACTTATGTATGTGTTATGTTAACATATAGTATGAAACGTCCATATATTAATCCATCCCCACATTCCTAGAATGAACACCACTTGGTTGGTGGACTGTTTTAGTATATTTTCTACATTCCTCCTTTGTCGGTGACTGTATTCTTTATTTTAATGCAACAGAATAATTACTTATGCCAGAACAGAATGCTGCTATGCAGTAAACACGTTCTTATGAAGCCAAGTCACAGAGAAAACACAGGATGTGAATGAGCAAAAAATGATTCTAGCTTTTCCAAAAATCTCTGTGGCAGCATGGAAAGCCAAAATCATTCTCAGGGTGAAAAATAACAGAGAATACTCTTGGGCTAAAATCACTCTTTTTGGTCACAATTGCCCTTGTAAGTAGCAGTTACTTTTAACGGCATTATCTTCAAATATCAAGCAGCATCATAGGTAATAAAGAGTATTTTATGTAATAAAGAGGATATATACATAAGGGTAGATAGAACAGGGAACCAATGTCATAGATGGAAGGAAGTCTATATTCCAAATGACATCAGCCAAGCCTTTGTCATGGCCACCCCAGTGTGATCCACAGTGTGATCCAATAGGTGAACAAATGGAATAATCTTGGTGCCAAGAATAAAAGCTATGCATCACCCAATAGCATCAACTCCCATTCACCAACGTGCTCTTGTTATTGCCATTACCTAAATATGGAATTTGTTAGCAACGGAGATTAATGCTGAGCCCCAGAATGGCACCATCCCTCAAGGACACCAATCAATCATTTGGTGCAAGTTATTTACATAAGTCATTTTCCACCTCGGAAAGAACATCAGTTATATTGAGTGGAATTTACACGTAATCCAGGTTTGAGTTTGACTTTCCTGCCCATAGGGCCTAAGCCTGAACCTCTATTTGAAGGATCACAGAGTATTTGGTGTGTT